GCATAGATGAATAATTTTTTTAGGGTTTGGGATGGAGAGTGCAGGTGTCCTTGATAAAGCTTGTTTGAGGCAATTAAAAGGGGTTACAAGGGCCCTGGGGCAAGGTAAAGGCTCGTCTGGGTTCCCTCTAGTAGCCTCATATAGTGGTTTGGCTATTATTGAATAATTAGCGATCCAGATTCTAAAATACTCAGTTAGCCCTAGAAAAGAAAGATGTCCCTTTTTGCCTTAAGGGAAGCAATTTGGAGTATGGTGGTTTTTCTGTTTTGAGGTATTTGATGACATCATCAAATTAAGGGACTTTTTTGTTCCTTAATTCTTTGGCTTCCTCATCCCTATTGTTAAAAACCTTAAAGGCTGTGTTTATTAAGTTTTGTTTGGGGGTGCGGGGTTACTTTTTAAGTTTTTGGAGCTCTTTTCAGATGTCTGGAGCTGACTGACTGATAAAGTGGAGATGTAAGAAAATATGACCCTCTTGGGAGGCAGGGTTTAAATTAGTGTATTTGATCATTGTCTCCATGAGGCTATTAGGAAAGAGGGTATGATTTTCATCTGGATTTTGTGTGATTTCTTTGATCTTATTGTGGTTGAATTGTTTATGGCTATTTTTGTTCTTGCCTGCCAGTAGGCAAGAAATCATATGATCTTGGGAATTTGATCTTGGGTCCCCATTTTGATAGCTCCATTAAGGCTGTCTTAGGAACTGCCTCAGTGGCAAGGGGATGTCTATTGGGATGCTGTTTATGGAGTTGGTCAGCATGTTGTACTGCTGCCTTCCATATTCCCTCCTTTTCATCCTTTTGAGGATGTCATTAATGATGTTATAAATGTCACTCCATGTGAGGGCATAGGCCCTAGTAAGATGGAGGAATTCCTTATGGTATCTTATTGGATTGTCTGAAAAAGGAGCCTGATTGTTCAATTTGCGAGATATCTAGCATAGAAAAAGGGACATGGACTCTGACTTCTCCTTCTACTCCTGCCACCTCTTGCACAGGGAGAACGGGGTTGGAGGAGGATGTGTATATGTGAATAGTTGTAGGACTGTAGGAGTGTGCATTCGGGATCGGGTGTGAGGAAGGGACAAAGGAAGGGAAGGGGCCATGATTGAGGAAGTGTTTTCTAGGGAAAGAGGTGGGGAAGAGTCTTCCAGGGAGGAGAGGGGGCTTGGAAGAGTTGGGTTGGAAGGAGGGAGGACGTTAAGAAGGGGGTTTATAGCTGGATCTGGATCAAAAATTGATGGGAGGGGATTAGGAGCAGGAGCTGAGGGGGAGTGGTGAGAATCAAGAATAAGCACTTGGTGGGGGGCCACAAAGGGAAGGTGAGGACTTGAGATAAAAGAAATCCTGAAGATAAGGGGCTTCTTGCCATTTGCCATTTCTCACAATAGAATTATCAAGCTCTCAGACAGTATTGGGATTAAAAGTGCCAAATTCAGGCCATTTTGAAGAGTTAACTAACCTATATTGTGGACAAATTTGTGTGGAAAAATGGATGAGGTTTGTTTGTTTTAAATCGCCTTTTAGGCCTAATTTTGTGAGGTTATGCAGGAGACATCCCAGGGATGAGTCAGAGGGAATTTTAGAGTGGGTATTGCTCATGGCCGGGGTTAGGAAGTTTTCTCTAGGGCGCCGAGAAAGCTTACAAAACCAGAAAAACAAACCTGGGGCGGTAGGTAGATGTCTCTAACCTATGTAGCCGGGGGCAGACTCCCTGGGGGCCAAACGGCTGGAGGGTGAGAGGGAAGAGGAGAGACAGGAACACTGAAGGCGAGAACGTGACGTGCAAGGACCTTTTGCTGTCGGTGGCAATATTCTGTATCTTGTGTGATTGTAGGTGGGGATTTAGTGGATGTACATACTATTGTCAGTGTTCACCTATTTATACACCTTAAATAATGATGATATACTTCACATAAATATCATTCTAAGTTTTGAAAAATGTAAATTTGGAGCAAATTTATTTCATTCAAAATAGAGTTTGTAGAAATCCATTAGGCGGTACCAATGTTCAAGTATAAGGTAATGTTTCTCTGCACCACTCTTACGTCAGTGAAGTTGAAAGGTTTAACAACAGTAATTACTGATTGGTTAGATATAGAAGTTGAGTAGTATTAAATATTCAACAATATGTTTTAAACAACTAGTTAGACAGAAGAATTATTTTCCTGAGTTAAAAGATTGAGAATAAACAAATAATGGGAAGTGAACAGAGAGGGGATAATTTTTGATGTACCTAGGCACCTAAGGTTAAATTGTCAATTATCTGCAAACATTTTCCTTCCTTGTACTTTAGAAATGTCTTGGTGGCTAATCATATTTGGATAGGATCATTCTTTATAAATAGTGCATTCTTTTGATCTGCAGTTTGTGAAGAGCCAACAACATTTTCCTACTTAAATCTAACTCTAAATAGATCATTCAAAGAAACAAGATATTTTACATTGCTAATCATTTTCTGTTTCCCGTGAGACTTTTAAAATTCTCAAGTGGAGCAAAAGCATTTCATATAGTCAAATCTTATATTAATAATGCATTTCATAATAGACTGTTTCAGAGGAGATAAGCAAAAGATGGCTGGGTACCCATGCAGACATAATGATGTATTGAAAACACATAGTAGATGGGAGAATGAAGAGAAAATTTCCTACATGGCATGAAGCCTAAGGAACTGATCACACACATGTATACGCATTAGAATGTTCACAAATCATCTTTAGAATATAACAATAAAAACTAAATTTTTGAAATAGGGACTAGGTTAAAAATAACATACAGTCATTGAAAGATTTTACATATTTTCAGGAAATATTAATATGACTATATTTTATAAACAAAGAGATTACTATGTATAATGACATTACAATTCAATATAGTATAAACACATACATATGCACAAGTAGAAAAATACCAAGAAGTGCATATATAAATAGCATTACAATAAATTCATAGTGTAGTTTAACCTTTTCTTTGTTCCTCATTTGGGAATTTTTTATATAACCTTTTTAAAGAAGATATACTTTTTGAAACGTGCATATAAAGAAATAGGAATGGCTGTTGACCGCATGTCAAGATTATGAAATAGGACAATAAAAAGGTTTGTCACCAGCATTATATTGGAAGAGAAAAACACAAAACCTTTATAAACAAACGGAACACCTGATTCATGTGCATGCATGTGTTGACATTACAGACAGAACATTTAATGCAAAAAATTCAAATATATCTCTCACCCATTACCGAATTATTGCTCATTCACAATGACATTAGAATGTATTTTGATTTACTTCAGAACTGAAGAAATCAGTCCAGTTTTACCTTCATGTGACTTATGAGTCATTTTTAAAGAGTGGTACAGCATTATCCAAGAATAAGGCAGACATTTAAGTCCACAATATTTGAGCTAACACACTTAAATTTGAGTTCTTCATATGTCAATCATCTTTGTTCTGTTTCTTGAACACAAGAGGCATCCCTGCCTAACTGTAAAAAACATCTTTCCAAACTCGTTTCTATATCAGTAGGGGAGATAATCTAATGCAAATTTTTTTAGTAATGCAAAATAAGTAGCTTGATGACTATCTCATTAATAAATTATAGTCATATAGTCCTGTTTTAATAGATTATACACACACACACTAGCTCACATTTGGAAAACAAAACATTTCAATTGAGAGGTAAATAGGTGAACTGTGAGTTAGAAAAACTATTAGTTTGAATCATAATTTTATCACTTTTTATTTAAGAAACCTTATGAAAATTAATTTCCCCTAAATTTAGTGTCACCATTGGTAGAAAGGGGCACTATGGCTTAGTTAAAAGAATTATTATCCAGGGTTAAAAGAAAATGTATATACAGAGCTCACATTTACTACGGACTGAAAATTATGTAATAACTATTTTAATATTTAATATGAAGGGAAATGTTATAAATAGTTGAGATAGGAAAGTTGGAAGCCCACCAAAAATAACAAACACCAGGAATGTACTACCACATAAACGAAGTTGGTTTAAGGGATGGTATTATGGGATTACATTTGTTAAAACCTACTTTAAATTAAGTGGGCCATGTCATAAGCATGTGTCTTTTCTATTTTATTTCAGAGGAATTCCTAGGATGCTTTAAAATAACTTGATTGGGGGAGGCAAATAAGTCTAATACCTTTTGAAGCAAGATGTCTTATATTTTGCAGAATTATATCTGAGAACATGAATAGAAAAGTCAGAATGAAGGTCTGAAATTAGGCTCACCTCTTTTCCAACATGGAACACGATGACAATGCCTTTTAATTTTTATGGCTTCTTAGAGTTTAAGGTGGATTTTGAATACATCATTCCCTGAAAAAATTCTTCTTCTGACAGGACCTTCTTCAGAGATTCCTCCACAGCTTCATTTTGAAAACTTTATGTAATTAGATTGAGTGTTGGAGGTATCACAGTATAGAATACATAGAACATAATTATGGAAACATTCTGTGATTTGTCACTTCTAGATTTTCAGTTTGTATTCAATTCAATCACTGGAGTGAATGATGAATGATCAATACAAACTGCATGATGGCATCAATAGATGCATTACTAGCAAATCAATGTACATTCAGGAAGAAAAGCTTCCAAACTTGAAATAGGATAGTACTTACGAATTATAGATAAATACTATCAATTTCTTTTCTTCTTCTTGTAATATTGTTCTTGCAGTGGTCTGAAAACAAGTGGTGGTTTTTGGAGTGTTCAGGTACGCATATGTGGTTGTGTGTATATTGGAAAGGTTAGAAAGGACTGAACTTATATGACAAGGGTACAATGGTTAATTTTTCTTAATTTGAAAAATCAAAAATGGTTTCAATGTCTCAGGTAAAGAAATGTGATGAAGAGTTTATATAATTCAAGTGGATTTATTATACAGTTTATCTACAGAAAAATATTGCATTTCATTATCATTAAATATTGAAAAAAATCCAGATACTATAAGAGCACCTTGTATATAATATTGGACAGTCACTAACACAACAAACATGCCTTTTTCCCAGTGAATTCTCCACCCAACAGTAACTTCACTAAAGCTCCCTTCATGGTCTCATTCCTCAAACTGTAAATAATAGGGTTGAGAGTTGGGGGTATCACTGTGTAAAATACAGATAGCATAAGGTCAAAAGCAGATGGAGAGTCTGAAGTTGGTTTCAGATATGCACATGCTCCTGTGGAGAGAAAAAATGAGACCACAACGAGGTGGGGCAGGCAGGTGGAGAAGACCTTAGACCGACCTTCAGCAGAGGGTATTCTTAGCACTGTGGAGAATATGTGGATGTAGGAGAGGGCAATGGAGATGAAGCAGGCAAAGGCCACCACAGACATGAAAGCAGCCACTCCTATCACTCCCAAGTAATCATTGGAGCAGGAGAGCTTGACCAATTGGGGGACATCACAAAAGAACTGGTGGATTATTTTGGCCTTACAGAATGTGATAGAAAGTGTGGCTGCTGTGTACAGGATTCCAGAGATGCTTCCACTTAGCCACACAGCTATCACAGCCAACTTACAGTTTCTGGAATCCATGATGAACTCATAGTGGAGTGGGAGGCAAATGGCTACATATCGGTCATAAGACATTACTGTGAGAATAGCCACTTCAGCCCAGGCTAAAGATGTGAAGAAGAAAACCTGCAGGATGCACTGGCTGTATGAAATGTAGGCATTGTCCATTAGGGAATTATCAATGGATTGGGGGACTGTGACAGAAAGAAAGGAGACATCTAGAAGGGAAAGGTGTTTTAAGAAGTAATACATTGGAGATTGTAGATGCTGGTCCAGTGTTGTGATGGTGAGAATGGCAAAGTTACCTACCAAAGCCAAAAGGTACATCACCAAGAACAGCAAAGCATGTAAGATCTGCAGCTCGCGATTGTCAGAATACCCCATGAGGAAGAATCCAATCATTTTGGTGTCATTTGTCCTAATCATTTTGAAAATGAAAGTATGGTTACAGCTGGAAAACAAACAGATATGGGAAATGAAGTAGGAAAAATCTAAAAAGAAATGATTTACTCATCATTGTTTCTTTCAACAATTAGTTTTTAAGAGCCTGTCATTTCTCAGCTGGCCATTTTGAGGGAATATATTTGGTACTGAAGCACAGGTTCACTGAGTATTGATCTTTCCTGTTTCCTACCTAGCTCACAATTAGGCCATCACAATGAGAGACTGTTATTTGGGATCCAAGGGTTAAATGGGTAGAACCATTGCTCTTTGCATTGCCATTTTACTTAATGGACATTTTATTAAAATCAAGATAAAAATAAGTTTCAAAGGAAATGCTTATGTGACTCTCAAATAGTTTTCTAATTTGATTGAGTATAGTATCTGGTACTTAGCAACTTCTATTTGAGTCTTCACCTTATATAATATTTTTCAAGTAAACTGATCAAATAATTATTGACTACTTATTACAAGCAAATATACTACTTGTCAATAAATAAGGCTGCTGGTATTGAGGTGGTTTTACTATGGAAGGAAAACACTTAAATGCTAAGCACACAATTTAAAAGAGACTCTAGGTTAATATAATCTACATTTCAGAGAAGAAAGAAACCAAATTTTCGTGATCCAAGATTTAGACCTTTGTGGAATGGAAATAACTAAGCATTCTTCATTCACTAAAATGTATATCATGCCTGATGGGTAATTCGTAATTACTCTCTCTTAGTTTTGTACATTTTTCCTTCCATTTTGAGGACATTATTCTAAACTATGGGAAAGGTCACCATGCAGTTTTTTTTTGTGGTGGCATATATCTTATTTGAGAAATGATATCTGAGAGAATCCTAAACTTTGATGTTAGTGCTCGCTCCCATTTCTTGTCACTCTGAAAGAGCCATTTTGCCATGTAATTCCACTCTCTTCTGTTGACAATGAGACTTATTCTGCCTCTCTTGTACCTTCTCTTCTGTAAATAATGATATTGGCATATCAACATTGGTTTTCTATATCCTTCTGCCTGGCAGGCTTCAGTGGTTTCAGAATGCAATAAAAATGGTTATTGAATTAACTGAAATTTTTAAAATTTTGCTTTAGTTGCCACATTTGAAAGACTATGTACTCTCAATTTGTAAACATGAATCACAAATTTAATTCATCTTGAGTATCCTGTGGTTTATTAGTTACCAACAAGAGTGAGAGGTTAAAAACCTAAAGAATTTTGAGCATTCATTTTTGTAAGACAAGCTCTGTGCTAGATAGATTTCCTTATAATATTAATTGCATTCAATCCACACAAGTCATTTCATCTTCTTGAAGTAAAGCATTTTAATCTCCTTTTTATAGGAAATATTAATCTCAGAGAATTTACACAGCAAAACTGAGATGTGCATTTCACTTCCTTACATCAAAATCTATAAATGTTAATAAAATGTATTAAGGGACTTTGGGGGAAAAGATACAAATATACTGAGCATGTATCCATACATGCCTTTGTTTCTCCTACTGATCTCAGTGATTGTATGAAGAAGTGTTTTACATATGCTTTATTTATGTAAATATATGAAATATTAACCTTTCTCAATTTACTGATTTTCCTTGGATAGCCATTATTGTAAATACTTAAAAGAACAAATCATATGTACTTTTTAAATGGGCACATTTTCTGTGAGGTCAGCTTCCTTCTTTATTAGAAATAATAGTTTCAGTTTTCTCAATTCAAATAGAGTTTCATTAGAATTTCTATAAAATCTTTACCTCTTTCCTTATTCCAGAATGGAAAACTCAGCAGCAGCGTTGGTGATGTCTGGTAGTTATCAAAGCATACTAACTTCTGACAGTTCTCCTTCTATAATCTCACACATTTTAAAAACCATGTTATTTCCCTTGAGAAAAGGTTTGCTTCTTTTTTTTTTAGAGGGAGGATACACCTTTTGAAAGGAAGTCTGAACTGAATGACAAAAAAAAAATATTCTGACTTTCTTTTGCCTGGGACTTGGAGTCACTAAAATTTCCACATAAATGTGTCTGGCTTAATAGGCAGTGGGATTTTGTTGACTTTAGCTTAGTGGGTCTCAAATTTTAGCAGACATGTGGACTGCATGGAGAGCTTATTAAAATTCAGGAATCCAAGAGGTCCTGATTCAGAAGGTCTCAGGTGACCCACAGGAAGGTGAATGCATGACAGGCTCCCACTATTGCTGCTGCCACTGGTCTAAGCTCCACATATGGAGAACCACTTTACCAGCTAAGTTAGTATATAATAAAGACATGAAACTAATATCAGGCCTCCTGGAAAGCTGGACATCAATATTGACCCTTATTTTTGAAATTGAGGCCTACATATCTAACCTCAGATTTTGACCAGTTATTTCTGTCATTCATTAGGATTGCTAAAGATAGTAAAAATGTCTTCTAAGAGATATTTTAAAGAGATATCATGAGATATTTTAAAGAGATAATGTAAATCTAACAACAGTAGCTGAAAAACCTCAGAAGGTGACCTCATCTATTAAAATTTATTAAGTCTCATCAATAACTTTATAAACAGTTGGAAATAAATATAAGGCCACAGTATTTTTGGTAATTTCTGAGATCTCCTAATATATTTCATAGACATTTTTAATATTTTTCAGTAATTATCTTATGAATACATAGTAACAAAATTTGTTATTTATGTGTATTACTTCAGTTTTCCTCTGAAGTTTTCATACACACACATTATGTTTCAAATGCTGCTCAGATTATAAATCATATTTGCAGAATAATTGTCCTTACTCACTTAAAAAATGTGTATTGAGTGGCATGTAAACCAGGCACTTTTCCAGTTCATCTTCATAAATAACATTGGTCTGTGACTGTGACTGCCATCATTGTCACATTTACATAAAAAGACACAAAAAAGCTCTATTAATATTTTTCTTAGCTATGAATAATGCAACAAAAATTATTTTTGCCTTATGAACTTTGCAATTTCTATGCTTGCTTTTTTTCCTTAAAATAAAATTAAGTGATGTGGGATCAATATTGAAAAAATTTATAGGTTTCAAATATTGACAAATTCTTTTCTAAAATTATTGTGAAATGTTATATTGCTCCCAGTATGTGCCCAAAGTGTCATCAGCATGAGGAATTTATCAGTCGTTATTTTTTGTGCTAAATAAGATGAGGCCATTGTGTCCTATGTAATTGTGTAGGCATTAGAGTCAGATTTTCAAGTTTCAATCCTGGTTCTACATTTACTGTTTCTGAGATGACTTTGAATACCTACTGCATATTTATGCACCTTTGACTTGTCATCTATGAAATGAGTGCTTTGACTCATTTGAAGTGATTTTCAGAACAACTAAAGAACAATTAGGCATTTACTCCCAAGTGTTTTGATCACTAACGTTTTATTTTTTACTTATCTTCTTTTTTTATTGTTGTGCAGTGTGGCATTTACAAAAGTTCTTACAATGTGTCAAATATATCATACTTGATTTCACCCCCTCCACTATGCTTCTTTATCCCTCCCTCCCCCATTCTTGGAATGGTTTCAACAGGTATCATTTTTGCATTTACATACATGTACCTGCATTTTTGTACCATATTCACCCTCTTACCCCATTGCCCACATCTCCCTCCTCCCACTGGTACCACCTCCCACCCCGCAGGGCCTGTTCTGCCCTCTTGTTCTCCGATTTTGTAGAAGAAAAAAGAAAAAAAAAAAAAACACATGACAGTCTTGTTTGTTTGAGATAAAAGTAGCTCCACAGGGAGTTTTCTTGTATATTTCCATGTATATATGTATTATAACCCCCATTGGTTCATCTCCTCTATTTTTCTTTATTCTACCTTAGTCCTTTTCTTATTAAAAATTTATCAGACAGAATTTTCCTGCAAAAGAAATAGAGGAAACAATTTATTTATTTTTCTATGAGGTCAGTGTAAATGTAGTAACAATATTAGACAAAGTATCACACACAACCTAGAAAAGATTCTTAAGGATACTAATGGTTACAGATAATTTTTGATGAAATACAATAGTCATTTACAAAAAATCCATTGAATCACTGAGGGAACTTTTTATCTGATGATAAGAATTTGCATAAGTTCTAAGTATTTATTATATTTATTTGTCATTTCTTTTCAAAGTTTGGAAATACAACAGGGATAACCATCATTAAAACTGCTAGAGAGGTCAAAGGGTAAGAAAAATGGGAAAGGATGGAGGAGGAATAAGAAAGAATAATCGAGGGTGTGAATATGATATAAGTACATTATATGCATGCATGGAAATATCACACTCAAACCCCTTGGTATTACAATTTAATATATGCCAGTAAAAATTGCCTGTGTGATGTAGAGCAACATATCCACAAGGTCCAGGATTAGGACCTGTACATCTTTAGAGGGTCATTATATTGTCCCCTACACCATTCAATCATTAATAGACATTTGGGTTGCTTCAAATTTTTGAACAATTGTGAATAAAGCGTCAATATTTTGTGCATAAAAACATTTATACTGAATAATTTAATAGTGCAGGAAAAATAACAAGATGTATATAAAAATTGGAAATAGATGACATGGTTTTGAACTTAAATTTTTTATAAGAAAACATCCTTATAAACTTGCAATATTTGAATTAACTACAATATAGCAGATTACATAAGAAAACTTACCAGGCTCAGAAAACCAAAAATTGTATGTTCTCCCTCATATATGGACTTTAGATCTAGGGCAAATACAGCAATGTTTTTGGGCTTGGGTCACATGCTAAAGGGAGAGCACATATGGGAAGTATGGGGATAGGTAGGAAACCCAAAACATGAAAGTGTTTGATGTCCCCACTGCAGAGGAACTAATACAGAAACCTTAAAGAGACAGAGGTAAATATAGGAAGGGGATCAGGAACTAGTGAAAAGGTCAGGTAGACATGAATCAATTAGGGTTGTAACACATTTGTACATGGAAGCAATGCTAGGAATCTATAACTGTCCTTA